TATTAATCATTTGGACCTCTTTAGCAGGTTTGAAATGTTTCCAGTGCAATTTCTATCTTATTAGATTGTTCCTGCAGCACTTTTCTGACTTCTTACTTAGTTTCCTCAACTTTCTGTGGAATAAATGGATATACCTCAATATCATTCTCTTGAATTCCTTATCGGGCATTTCCAAAGCCTACACTCCTTCCAGTGAAAACTTGAGGTCTGCCTCCATTTGTATGGCTCATTTATATGAGCTACTCTGTCTTTTTAGACTTGAACAGAATCATTTTGCTGTTATCTGGACATTGTGATGCTGTTGTATTTTCAAGAATTAGATGAATATATACTGGTATATTCTTAAACTCTCTGATTGCCTCCTGGTCCATGTGATCAGGAGACGCGCTTCTCTTTTCACTTCTCTTACTATTCAATGAACAATGGTTTTAGCAGGTGTTGATTATTTATGCTGTTCTGATATATAGAAACTGATATTGGTTTTTCCCCAGATGGTAGGATTATATAGGTGTGTTTGTAGTTTGGCTTCACTTATTGTAATTGCTGTCTTTCTTTGTGTAAGGCAAGGTGAAAAAGAGCTCCCCTCTTCAAAATAAGACGGGGACCACAATCATCAAAGAAAACCAAAACACATTTTAGCAATATATGAGTAAGACTTTACTGCCCCCTTTTTAGCTTCTTGTCTTCAAACCTGACTGAGTAATTCCAATATGTTGCCATAACATCTTAAGATATAAATAAAAGTTTTTATTCAGCCTTTTTCCTCATTTCTAGCTTCTTTCACCTCCCCTCAAGAACATTCAGGCATTTCTTCTAGGAAGAACCAGCCTAAGCCTGGCCAGGCTCATTTTGGAAGACAGTCCCATTTTAAGCGATTTCTGTTGACTCCTCCCCCTTCTTCAAATCTGTGTCCAATGATCCTTGCTGTGCTGATCTTTGCGCATATCCCCTCTGGTCTGACAGTCATCACATGGGCACTTGTTTTGGCTGATGATACTGAGCTACTCCAGCATGTCTTCTCACAGATGTAATCAATTGGATTCCCATGTATACCATCAAGGGATGTCCATGTGTATAGTTATCTTTTATGTTGTTTTAAAAAAAGGTATTTGCAATGAAAAAGTCATTAGTCATGCAAAATTCTATCATGTGATCTCTAGCAAAGATGGAGGTAGGGATTATAAGTAATCTACATCAGCAGGAATGGAACAACCACATTGGAAATAAGAATGCTGATATAGTGTAGAAAATATAACCAAAGTTGCTGAACAATATGAATAGAAATTGTTGAATGGGAATGCAATTTGCTGTGCAAAGTTTCAATACAACACAATAAAATATTTAATCTTTGTTGTAGTTAGTGTCACTGAGTCAGTTTGACTAATAGCAACCCAATGCAAACCAGAATAAAATATTAGGGAAAAAA